GGTGTCCCTGCCCATGGCAGGGGGGTTGGAACTGGATGATCTTTGAGGTCCCTTCCAACCCAAACCCTTCTATGATTCTATGATATCTAGAGGAAAATCTATTTTTATGTGTTATGTTTTCCTAGGTGTAACAAGCTAACACAAAAAATAAGCGGCTTAGCGCATAAAGCACCCAGTGCAAACCTGTGTCTGTGGCGCTTGTGGTGACACATAATCCTAAATGCAGTTTTGTGTCAGAGTACAGTAGTCTGAAAAAAAGACAACTCCACACCTGTCATCCTCAGAGAATACTTACTCGATCACGTCTGCCTGACTGATTTGCGTGTTTTTGTAGCTACTAGTAAAGCAGCACCGACATGACAGTGGAAGCACAAGCTGGATTACAGCACAGCTCACTCACTAACAGGATCATTATCCAGTTTAAAAATGCAAGGACAAAGTTTTCCCTTAATTATTCCTCTGTAACTCCAGTGAGCATAACAGTTTGCAATGGGATTTCATTCGGAGCCAGTAGAATGGCTGTCACAGGAACTTTGTGTCGTACTAATTGTAGAATCTTTATAACTGGATACTCCAGGGAAATAGTCTTGCAAGATTATTAGGCTCTTGGCTGAGTCAGCAAGACTTGTCAGGGAAAAAAAATCTTAAGGCAAGCTTTGTGAAGCACTCCATCCCACAAAAAGATTATTATCTTACCTCCACTGTCTATCTAACTGCTATTAACAGTCGATATAACAAGTTTTAGAATAAAATTCCATGATTTCTGTTTTTTATGAGCTTTTCATTAAAAGATGCAGAACTTTGGCAATATCAGTTTGCTGTCTTTGAAAAACATGTTGTAAAGTCTTGTAAGTTATCAGGTGCAAAAGTTTCAACGTTGACAGCCTTTGAAACCAGCTCTTGTATTGTCCACAGAACCCATTATTTACTACTATCCATTCTCGAAAGTTCTTACTGCCATAATTTCTACAGCTCAGCCTACAGCAATGCAGGAATTCTCCTTTCTGTTTTTCTCCAGTTCCCAAACTGAGAAATAAAAATGATGGCACAGATTCTGTGTCCATTCTGTTGTTTGTGCCTCAGAAAACATCCTTAGTGCTCACAGCCTCCTGTGCTACGTTGTGACATTGCTTTTTTCTGTGCACTGGTCTGTGTTCCCTCGCCATATGGATAGTTCTTTTATTATCCTTATTTGCTGTACAGGTGAGATAGTTTTACATTATGACTTCTGCAGGTATATGTAGTTCTTCTGTAGTTAGTCTGATGATACACTATCCCATGGAAGACCCCAAAATACTCAAACAGATGATGAAATAAAATAACCTTCATTCTTCCCTCCCAGTACTGTTTGCATTTTGAATAACAATTAACAGAACGAGTAAGGCATTATATGAACGCTCTAGGGACAAGTTGTTACTGCTGTTAATATACCTTCTGAAAGAGACATCGACACATGGTTAAAGTGTGCTTGCTTTTGAGCTCAAAGATCAATAAGTCACATTTATGTCAGAAAGATCTTTTGATTTTTCTTCCTTAGTTTTTGAAACTTCATATTTTCCTACAAAATCATACTTCTCTGAGGTTAATTATCCTCATGGTATTTTTACTTTCCTATACAAGGGAATCTAGCCAGTCTTTGATAATCTGACTCAATAAACATAAAAATATAAATGAATCACAAACGTATAATAAAGAGAGAGCGGTGAATTATTAACTAGTGTGGTTATAGACAATCAAGTTTTACAGTCACAGTGCTCATTTTGCCCTGGTTACTGAATTGTATGTGTACCGGTGTGACTGTAAATCTTTTAAACAGTTGAAAAATATTTTATGAGTAGTTTGATATAATATTGCTGCCAGAAGTTAACCTGACTTCAGTATAACACCTGCCTCAGCACTTTCCCATTAGCAAAAACTGCCCTCAGTTCCTGGCAATGAGGAGTGGGAACAGCCCAGACTTCAGAAAAGCTGTAGTTAAAAAAAAAAAAAAAGTGAACCTGTTAGTAAAGGTGAGCCCACCAGAAATGAGTTTTACTTGTCTGTGTGCCTTTGAGCAACACGGTGTAACAGCCCTGAACATCTCCCATCCCATGGCGTTTAGTTTTAAAGCCAAAATGTTACAGATCTGAAGAAGGTGAAGCTATTATTTCAGTGAATATGGAAACAAATTGTAACATACTTTCATAAGCCAAATAGGTCTAATTCATCACCAACATCAGGGAATCAGAAATGCTCAATTATCTTTTTCCTATAAAAACACAGGGAAACTGAATTTTTGCATAGAAGCAGGAGTAAATGTGTTGGTCTGCTACAGACATTTTCAGAAGTGCAACTGGCAGTTAGGTATCTAGAAATATATTGATACGGAAAAATTTCTTGCGTAGAAATAAGAGACAATAAATAATTGTCTCTACAATAAGTTTCTCTAAGACTGTTTTTTAGTGTTTTGGTTTTGTGGTTCTTTTTCAGGTGTTGCTGCTTTGGATTCCAGCGTTTCTGGGAAGATTGGTTTGCGAGCAGTCTTATATTATTTCTCCACTACAGTCATTGCTGTAATACTAGGTACTCTGTAATACTGTAACTTTTAAAATCTGCAGCATTGCCTGGTTGCAATTATACAGCACTGTGACATGACTAATTTCCCAAGACAGGATGGGGAGAAAAGGCAGGAATCATACCAAACGTCTCACATACTTGTAGGCAGATACAGGGAGAAGTTAGTCCCGCTGTTCACAGTTGGGCCGTGTTCATAACCAGTGTGAAGCCACAGCCAATTTGTCCATACATTTCAGCTCAGGGAAGATCAGGAGCTGTGTGCTTAGGTAAACAGTGACCAGCAGTGGGAAATCTGAATGAATATCAAAGGCCAGCCTTAACTACAAAGTGAATTTCCTCAGTAGCAAAATGATAGATTGTCACTGATTCTCAGATAAGAGAATGTATAAGGTGTCTCAGAAAATAGCGCTTTGCTTGTCGTCTCATTCCCTTCCTAAAAGGTTTTGGTCTGCTCTGTCACTGCCAGGCTCCACTACTACCTCTCTGAAGTCCACATCTCCTCTTGCAAGAAGTTCGTTCCCTACAGACAACCTTGACATCTTCCATATTTGCTTAAACAAAAATCTTCAACCTGCCTTCTTAATTAAGAAATAAAATTAAACCCTGCTGTGTCAGCTGACATGTAGTTTGTGGCTTATCTTTGTATTTTGTTGAGCCTAAGTGAATACTGTGCCTAGATATCACCCACTGAAAGGAAATACGTGTTTGAAGGACAAAATGTATATCATGTATGGCCTACTTGTAAAGCAAAGCAGTATTTAACAATAGGAGAAGGATCACATATAGACATATAAGGCCAGATTAATTTCTAGAGGTTGCATCATTTGGAATAATGTTTCACTCTAGTTAAATAATTTGGGCTACCTCATTTGTCTGGGAATTTTCTGTGAATACACAGTGAGGGAAATTAACAAAAACTAACATTAATACATACCTAACTTTGAAATTGTCGCTACCCTGAGAGAGAGGTTAAACCAGAAAATCTCTAGAGGCCCCTGCTGTTCTATGATATTATGATATTACTTGTTTCATTGTGCGGGGTTACACAAATTCAGTCCTGCTTTTATTCACAGCTGTCATTAGAAAGCCTTGTCCCAGCTAGTTGAAGGGTCATCCAAATGCCTCTTTCTCCTTACACTCAGATTTAATAGTTTCATCTGCTTTAAGTTTGTTTGAATTTGGGGAGGAAAAAAAATAGAATAAAAAAATTACATTTGGAAGGGCCTACTAGTTTTCCTAATACTAAAAATGCCTAAAATGAAGCTACTAAAGTAAATGGAAAATTTGTCATTGATTTCAGTATTCACAAGGTCAAGGCTAGTATTTCTTGCCCATATTTTTTATTTCAGTGTGTTTCTGAAGCCCTTCTCTTATGTAACTTTATTGTTAACTAACTTTTCAAAACATCCTGTTGTACTTTGGTGCCACAGGACAGCGCACTTGTGTTCATATCTGAAGGCTAGTAACAAGAAGAGCTGCATAAGGGAAAACTTAAATAGCAGTTCAAAATATCACCACGCAAAAGTTGCAGAACACTTTGGCTGAAGCCCAGCTGAAGGAATTTACCCTCTTGGTGAGCAGTAGTGATTTAGTACAATATTTCTATGAAAAACGCTGGAGTACTGGAGTCCATTGGCAAAGCCACAAGTAGCTCCTGTGTTGGGAAAACCTACACATTTAATTACTCTACCTGTAGGCTTCTCTTTTCTGAACAGCCCTGCATGAACACCCAGGGAAAGCATTTGATGAGCTTAGCTCACGAAGAATTTAGCGACACAGGATACACTGAGGCAGGATGCACCAATGCCTCTGCTTGCACTGTGAGCTCTTCTGGTTCTCCTGCAGGGATTGTCTTAGTTGTGACCATTAAACCCGGTGTGCCTCAAACAGCAAATGAGATCGACAGAGTGGGCAGTGCCGTGGAAGTCACTACTGTTGATGCCATGCTGGATCTGATCAGGTGAGGTTTTATTTTTCGGTTTCCATACCCTTGCTGCGAAAGTTGAAAGGAATGCAGATAAAGTTGTGATGTGTGATACAACAAAAATGCTTTTTAACTTGTTTGGATCAATAAGGAGAGAAAAACTTGTATTCCATCAGGGGAGACATTTTAGAGTATATTCAAAGCAGTTTGTTAAAAAAAATTTCTCTTTACACCATAGACTTTGGTTAATAAACCAGCAACAACAAAAATTCCCTCCTTTGCAGAAATTGATATGCAAGATTTACCTAGTATGAAGAAAATATCCAGAAAGGACTGAATGGTTGGCGGAGTACTGATTAGCAGCTTCTGTGTCATTCAGTGTAGACAACCACTGAAATTGCAGTGTTACGTTTGTCCTCCTCGAGGCAGGATGCAGGGTAACAGACACAGTAGGCAAAGGTTTCTTAGGGTTGCACAATCAACAAATTTGCTCCATCACCAGTATCTAAGGCAAGCTTATAATGAGTCTTTCCCCATTAGCGTCCTGGAAGGTGATAGATACAATGGTTAGAAGACAGAAAACCCAAGAAAAATCTGTAGAAGACATGAGCAGGTTTTCAGGGCTAACATGGTTAAGGAATTAGAGAAAAAATCACAGAACAGGGCTGCTTTTCCAATAGTGGCTAAGTAGTTACCTCAAAAATGTTTCTGTGGATTATTTTTTTTCTCCAGCTGCAGTTAGTCTCTGTTCTGTGTCACTATTCATGCCCACTGTTTTATTTTTGTAGAATATTTACTAATCTATCATGTAAGAATCAACTGCCACAGATCTAAAATTGGCTTTCTCAGCATTTTTCATTTCAGGAAATGTGACTGGCATTTGCAGATACAACTCCAGATTCACAGTTCTTTGACGCTTGTGAAATACACTCATGCATATGTACATATATGTATATATCTCCCTTGAAAAATTCACCATCCTATTTGATAGCAGAAGTCTGCTGTCATCTGAGGCATCTCTGCCCCAACACACATCAAGGTAGACCTCTTTGAGAATATCTCAATTTGTCTAAGGTGTGTATGTGGGATAGTTAACAGTCCTCAACCCCCCAGCCCCATGTTCAACAATCCATAGCCTCTGTCCCCTCCTGCCTGTGCATGATGAGTGTGGCAGCTCCTTGGATGGCTCATCTCATTCCTCATGGTCACTTTGCCCAGGAATCAATGAGGGAACTGTGCAATCGGCTGCATTATAGAACTTAATGCAGTCTGTTACCAGTAACTTTCACATGAACGTTTCCACACATCTTCACAGAGCTAATGTAGTTTCATGCACAAAAATGTCTTCCTGTAGTAAGAAGCAGTGTGAATTGTAATTCAGAGTAGTTTGAGGTTTTGCTACAGGTTATAGCTCAACTTATTGTAAACACATGTAAGACTGTAATGAGATCTGAAATTTTTTTTAAAGGAATTATAGTTACTTTCCCTGTTTACTTATATTAATCAGATTTAAGATCCAAATCCAGACAGTCTTGTAAAGGTTAAGGAAATTCCCAAGCTTGTACAAACTACTCTTGCCTTTGAGGAAATTTTGCTTTAAAAACTTGAAAATTAAAGGCAGGAGTTTGTGAAAGATCTGGAAGGGAAATAAAGACTTTAGTTTCAATATGTAACCTGCCTTTTTCTGCACTGGACTGGGTATTCAGTAAATGCCTAATTAATACTTTTTTCTGAAATGATTTGAATCTGAAATTCGTGGTCGGAAAGGAGGCCCGCAACTGGGTCTTACTGCTTCTGATCTAATTTCCTAATTTTTCGGTGTGCAGAAATGATCCTTGACCTGGAACAACACATGGGAATGTTCCATCAGCTAAGATTAATTTCTGAATTTAAAACTACAATAGAGCACACCAAATATCTGATTCTTCCAGCATAGTGTTTATAAGAGTTATTATTTTTTTTCTGCCTATATTTAACAAATCCAATAAAAATGATGAATCCTCATATTCCTCATACAAATGATGGAGATGATACAGTAGGGAAAAAAAACACTAGAGTTAGTAACTTACCTACAGAAATGTCAAACAGTGAAAATACAACTGAAAATTCAACAGTAGGAAAACAGTCAACTGATCACTGGGAGTCCTGAACCTTTAATTTCTTTCAACTTTATATCTGATGGTGCTAAATACACTGCTTTCTAGATAAAAGAATACAACCTGATCTGTTTTTCAAGCAGCAGATTTTATCGTTTTGTTTGTATAAACAACTTATTCTTAGTATGCTATAATGTTGAAATATCTCTACTTTTTTAACAGGAATATGTTCCCAGAAAACCTTGTCCAGGCCTGTTTTCAACAGGTAAATTTGAACATTCCTCTTCACTACTGTAGTTTTCATTGCTGGCTACAAATTATTCTTTTATATCCCCCAAAACTATGTCAGGTAACAATTATTTATGAGAAATCCAGAAGTATCTTAATCTCCCATAAAAAGACTTTTTTTAAGGCATCTTGGTTTCATTTCCATTATGATAAACACTCCGTTATCAGCTGCTAAGTCCTTGGTCATCCCTTGCAAAAAGGCAATGTTTATGAGCTTGGTGCCGAAGGCGAGCCGTGTATAAGACAAGATTTTTCCTTTTGGGACAGGCAGAGTTAGAAGAACCAGGTCATGAGCATCTATTTCTTTCTTCTTAAAAAGCCTCAGTGCCTGATGAAATCTGTATAACTTAGCCCTTACCCTGCTGTGCCTCACATCTAATGCCCATTGCCAGACCTGATGATCTATCTTAAGGAAAAGGCAACCAATTGGTAGAGTCTATTTGAGACATCTTTCAGAAAAAGTGAGGTTTGCAAGACAAAAGAGGAAACTGCTGTCTGTATATTAGGTTTGCTTCAGATTCGGTTATCTTTGTCTGTAAATACATAACTGGTTTTTGTGATGCTCTCTGCTTCCCTTTTTTGTTTTGCCCTGCAGCTGCCTACCAGTTTATCTGAGGTTCTTACGTGAAGTAGTTAACCTTTCCTAGGAAATTACGTTAACTGTCCTGCTGTTCACAGCACTGAATGTATTTCCAGTTTATAAAATTCTTTCATGTAGTTTTGCTCATATGTTAGTTACTGTCACCTGACACTAAGGGGACAGACGTGTTCTTTTAGGGGTCCTTGGCAGAATGCTGACAGCACGAGATTGTAGTTACAATTAAAGATTTCTTTTCTTAACAGGATATTACGATTAGTATAGCGCAGAATTGATAGGATTTCTATAAGCAGGATCGGTATAGTACAGTTTTATAATACCACCACTTAGCTTATGGCTTCTAATCACCTGGACCCTCTGCAGATTGGGTCAAATCTTAATACTTGGTTTGCTGTATCAACATAACAATCATAATCTAGACTCAAAAATCGTATAAAAGGATAGGAGTCACTCAGTCCTCAGAGGAAGCATATGACGGTGGAAGTGTCCCTCACCACCAGAAGGTCCTGATCTCACTGCCCAGCAGCAGCTCTGGTCCAAGTTCCCCCTTAGCACTTGTAACTGCTTGATTTTACGATCGGTACTCTGGGCGCTGTTACTCTTGCCTATTCTGTGGCGGGGTCATCAACAGCATCTGGCTGGCTGAGTGCCTGGGACCTTCGAGGCCAGTAAGGAGGGGAGAAGTCAGCCTGGTGCCCAGGAATCTTGAGGCTGATAAGGAGGGGAAGAAGAAATCTGTTTGGTTCATCTGTTTGGTTCACAGGACCTTGAGGGCCTGATAACAAGGGGAAAGGAGACTAATAAGTGACTAGCTTGGCCACAGAGAATGACTGTTTGCTTTATATAATGACGTTAGTCATGCTAACCACAATGTCGGGGATCTGATTGTGTCAGGTGCATCTGCTTTACATACCTCTCCTGGGGTGGCTGTCAGCAATTCTCTCCACACTGTTCATCCCAGCAAAAAGTCCCCTTGCTGTTGTCAGGATCTGTATCTCATCCCCCACAAGACTGCACCAGGTTCACAGGGCACGCGAGAGCCTGGGGAGCGGAACTCATAGCGTGTTATCCGTGAATCACTTGTTCACTCTGCAGAACCGTGATGGCTCACATGAGTTGGGAAATAACATGTTTGTCTGTGTTTGCTACCTTCAAGTCAGATTAGGTAGTTTTTCCCTTTTTTTTACTGGGCAAAGGCTATGCCTTTGTCCATTCTTCTGTTTCGTTGTGATTGTAAATAAGCTCTTCTATTTTTTTTAAAACTTTTCCAGTATAAAACCAAACGTGAAAAAGTTGAAGATACAACTGATGTGGATAATAATAGCTCCGCATTTACAGAAGGACCTGTTACAACTGCTACAACTACAGAGGCTTCAGAGGTATGACCTTAATTGTTGTATTCCTTCATAATATGTGGAGAGAAAGAACGTAGAATAAATTTCGTTCGTATGTTTAGTGGTGGAGAAAAGAAAAGAAATAGAACCTGGGTAGATTTTAGCAAGGGCACAAAACTGTATAAGCAAATGCTAGAGGTGATTATGAGGATCTTCAACCAGTTTTAAAAACACCAGACAACTCCACTGGTAATTAAGCAGTCCAATGATAATAGACGATGTGAGAAAGTAATCCATTCATATACTCCATTAAATGTGTATGGTAATGAATTGCAAATTTGCTGAGAAAGAAAACAGTCACTGTGGAAAGGCTAGATGTATATTGGCATGAGATGTTTGAGCAGCAAAGATAACTGTAAACACTGCAGAAAGAAAGGACTGGAATATCGTAATTTTTTTTTAATGGAAACCAAAACAATGGAAGGCATGTGTTAATTAATAGTTTGTTAATCTGCAAAAAAAAATGTGAAGAGACAAAAGTGAAGAAGAGATTTAACATGCCTCTCATTAGAGGTGTGGAAAGCTGATGGGTGTTGATGGCTTATGAAGACTAGAATTACATTGAAGGAGAGGGAGAAAAGAATTCAATACAATATGAACACAGAACTATAAACAGTACAAAATCAAAATGCATTTTTTTACACTCCTTCCAAATTTCATGTCATAGTGATGAGAGCATGAGAACATGAGCTATATGAAAATACATTAATTAAATTCTGAAGCAGGATGCAATGAAGAATCACACCCTTTCCTTCATGTGTTCATACTACACAAACGCAGAGCAATGTGTGAACTATCCTAGCAGTAGCAGGATTTTTGTTATATGCATCCCATTCTGCTGTAAATTATGTAATTTCATTTATTTCAACTGAACAATAGATCTTCAACTTGAAGCAAAATTGGACTCCATTGTCTCAGTTCTTACACAATGGACTATTTATCTTAAATCCAGACACAAACTCTTGAGTTGCTCAGAAATAACCACAAAGATTCTACATCAGCTGTGTTTTGTTCTCCACAATAGGGAGTAAGTCTTGAGTATGTTGAAGGCATGACTGTAGATACCTAGACCTTGCCATACTTCGTGCCAGAAGTCTATAGAACAAAAATTAAGGGGTACTTTATCCCCTGCTAGGATTTGATGAGATTCTTGCATAGCTTTACAATCCAAAACTTGCAAAGACAATTTAGTTCTACATTCATTCCTGAACTTGCCCACTTGACACTGCCAGAAAGCGAGTAGAGTGACTGAGGAAGAGCTCTTTATCTTTTCAAAGAAAGATCTGGATGTGTTTTCATTTTAGAACTCTTTAAAGTAAATGCAATGTTTTCAGATAGTCACTTTTTTCTCTTTAATCTATAGAACAAAACTCAAGAATACACAATCGTGGGCTCGTATTCCGATGGCATCAATGTGCTGGGGTTGATCGTCTTTTGTTTTGTTTTTGGAATGGTTATTGGGAAAATGGGAGAGAAAGGACAAGTGCTGTTGGATTTTTTCAATGCACTGAATGAAGCTACAATGAGAATAGTTCAGATAATTATGTGGTAAGTCCAAGGACATACTGGCATTTTCTAACAACTTCTTTAAGTGTGTTTTGTCATTGAAGAGGTAGGAGCAGACTCATACTTGCTTTTGTATAATACTTGCAGCAAACAACTTCAAAAGAAAGGCTGGTGAAAGCTTCCTTTCTGCAGAATTTTATCCTTTTGAGGAAACTGGAGACAAGGCTTCCACTTTCTTTATACTAGAGAAACAGTATAACCTGAGGTTTTCAGGCATTCTTTCTAGAGGTTGATATCAAACCCATACAACTGCGCTAGTGATTTGAGGACTGTAGAAGCATTACCACCCACATGCCGTTCTCAGTCTTGGACACTACTCCCTGATAGCTGTTGTGTTCACAGGATAGCTGTCCTTGGAGCTAAGTTCCTTCAGAAATATAAATTAATATACAAGTCACATCACAGAGCAAAATCCAAATTGCTATTCAAAATACAACTCAACATCATTTACCTTCTGCTAATAGTTTTGTGAGACAGCATTCCCAAAATATTCTCTCATAATATTCTCAGATAGAAAAAACAATTTAAAAATGTAGCAACTCATCTGATAGTGTTTGGTTGGGCTTCACAGCTATTCACAGAGCTTTTGTCCATGCAGATCACAATTACAGGACCAGGACTATAAGCATACACAATCCTTTCCAGAGTTTGATGCTACATGTGGAGTGCACTGTGCCATTTAATGCAATACTCTGCTCATATCCACGTTCCACGCAAACAGTAGCTTATCAGATCTGGCCCTTCCATGGATTTTTCTGCCATCCTAGCACACCAAGACGCCTGTAGAAGAGTAAACCTGTCCAGGCTTTAGTTGCGCACTTCTTGCTGCCTTTGAAGAAAGGTGAAGTAGTTTCTGCAACTTGTCCTGTTCTAGGCATCTGGTTCAATCCCCAGCTGAGTTACTGCCCTGTGAAATACACTGCTTCCCTCTGAAACAAATTGCCACTAACGAGACCTGAGAGTTAGCACACACGACAAATACAGGATCCTACCCGTAAGCTGGCTATCCATTGTCTTGCATGTGCCTGAAGCTGTGTCTGCAGGCTGCCCATGTTTCTACAGATGTGGGAGCTGTTGCCTTGAATAAGATCAAGTTTGATGCTGGCAGCATGAGGAATTAGTTCTGGTTTCACCAAGTTCAGGACTCAGAAGGGTGTAGGAGTCCCTACTTTGCACAGGCACAAGGTACTATTTTATTTGTGAGGCAGCACGCACAGATTTTATAAATTGATAATCTGTATTTTTAAATGAGTATTTTATTTACATTTTATATATCCATAAATTTATAAATTAATTTATACTACTCAAAACTCTGGAGTGGCAACTTGCCTCTGTGACAGCCTGCTATCTGGTACCAAAAGGAATGCAGTGGAGCTGGTGCAAGCATGGGTCCTGATTTTTACCTTCAGTTGTCTGTAGTCAGTAGCTCATGCTGCTATTCTTGTGTAAGTTTACGGTGGGGTGAGGACCCATCCATCAAACAACACACTGATGATTGTACTATCCCAACATAGGAAAATCACTCTTATTCTGTGCGAGTGACTCAGTCCCCAGTGCTGCAGGTCTGCTGCTGTAAGCATAGGAGACCTTTCCCATCTGTGTGGGGTTGCAGAACACACAGATATTGGTCTCACCCTTGCAGACTTCCAGCTCCAACTAAGCTTATGGCTGTGCATAAACATTTGCTGCAGTAAGGTAAAGCCCACACTCCTTCCCAACTTCTGTGTATTCTGCGACACCACGTCATATGGTACTTGTTAGACTATACATAGGGTTATATTTACTCTGATTTTCTAATCTTTTTTTTCGTCACCTCTGTTCTAGTCTTGTTGCAAGTATATAAAATCAGTTATATTACAGAATTAAAAAAAAATCTTCCATCTGCTGTAAAAAGTTATACTCTTCAATAAATTATTCCATGATGAGCACGCAATGTTTCTGAGAATGCATTTTTAATTGCTTTATTTTTGCTTTCTAGGTATATGCCAATTGGTATTGTGTTTTTAATTGCTGGGAAGATAATAGAAGTTGAGGACTGGGAAATCTTTCGTAAACTGGGTCTTTATATGGCTACAGTACTAAGTGGGTATGTAATTTCTTAAAGACGAAATTAAATCTGTGCAGTTTTTAGAGCTCAGTTGATTACAACTCAGTCAGAACACTCTTCCAGATCAGAGACAAAACTTCTTGTCTGTGAAAATTATGTGAGAATGTTTTGAATGCGTAGTTTGCTGAATGCATGTTTTGTTTTAAAAAGTCACTGCCTTGCGTTCTAAAAAAAAAGCAAATGCTGTTCTTGTATTCATTTTTTAATCTTCTCAGTTTAGTGCTGAAACAGATAATATCATTGTATTTTTGAAAGCAGTAATGCTTCTCTTAGATACTAAAAGAAGTTGGAAAAGGGTGAGGTTGTGAATTACAGCTTATTGGAAGCTGCCAACCTATTGAAAATACACGAATATCTGGATCAAGTTGGGAACGTCCATGGGACCTGTGGGCCCGAGATGTACCAGCACAGGCCCAGCTCCGCTGCCTAGTGCAAATGCATAGCAAGTGCAGTGTGCAATAAATGGTGATGAAGAGGAAACTGATTCCTTCCCACCTCCATGCAGAGCAGGCAGCTGACATCAAGAGAAGCCCCAGGGACTGTGCTGTTTGTTAGCTACGTCTTCAGGGCAGAGGTAGCTGATGAAGCTGCAAAAGCAGAAGTTGCTGTCCGAATAACTTATGCAAGCGTCAAAACTCTTTCTCTCTTCTTTTTCTAGACCCTTGACTGTGTAAAATAGTCTGGGGTGGAGGAGGTTACACCTGCACAAGGTGGAGCCTTGCAGATATGGAGCCTTAGAAGGGGCAACTGAAACTCCTCTGAGTGATACAGGTTTTAATACTAGATCATTATATATCTCTGAAGACTATCCTACAAAGAACCTTTTTGATAGATAAATGGACATTACAGTCCCAATAAGTTAAATGCATTTAAATTTCTCTTTCCAGTTCAGTGAAGCATAACTTCTAGGGTATCTTGGTTCATTGCCTTAGCATCCACTCCTATAATTCCTTCATTATACTAAGGATTTATTCATGTTTTGTCTAGAAGCTGGATCTAAAGTTGTTCAAGAGCTTCTTTCGTCTCACTTTATGTATATGCATGCTGTTCTTCAAACTTCTCATGCTTTCTGACAACCAAGCAGAGACACGGGTAATATATCAGTCTCAAATGCAAACTTCTCTATAAGTGGTCAAGAAGGATCTCTTTTTTTTTGCTTTAATCTTTGCTAGATAATTGTATTTATTTTAAAGTTGTTGTTTTGTTTTAAGCATAAGCCAGTATGTTTGGACTAGCTGTTCAAAAATCATTTGAGATATAATGACTTTCTAAGTAAAAATTACATCTCCATAAATAGCACTGAATCATGACTTTTTCAAAATGTTACAGAGATGAGTACACGTTATGTTCATCTAATGCATAATGCAGGTTTTTTTTAGTTTCCATTTAGACTTGGAAAAGAAATCAAATTTTTAAAGGATGCAAAAGCTGATGTTTACCAAGAGACTGTAAATAAAGAGACTAATATTTTCTATATAAATTATAAATGAGACCATAACCACAAGTTAGGTAAAAGTCTTTTATAGGATGATGCTGTATTGCTTCTGCAGGTTTTCTACGTTATTACCTCCAAGTAACTCAGAGCAGGAATATATGGGAGGGATTATTACTGCCCTTTGACTTCAGTTTTAGATCAGATAGCAAGTTTTACGGTTTTAGGTCTGATAGCAAGTTTTATGACTGTTTAACTATTAATGGTTGCTATTTGTACTGGGACAGGGCATATCTTCCTTAAGGTGTGTGAAGACACAGTGCCTTCTCCAGAGCGCTTTGATTGCAAAGTAAACGGCAACCACATACGGTCTCCCATTTGGTTGCTGACTGTGGGCTTGGTAGGTTCCCGGGTGTCATCAGAAAGATTGTACGTAGTAAGGGTGCCCACCTTTACATCCTCGGAGAGGAAAAGTGTCTGTTCCACCGAACTCCTTTGCACATGCCGCTATTTTCCCTGATGGCTGCTAGGGTAGATTTGTACAGCATTTCTGTCTTTTACAGGATGACCTACAGCAGGTGATGCTCAAGGTGTTGTGGAGGAGGGCTAGCAACAGCACATTCTCTGCAAAACTGACCATCAGGGAAGGCATGCTGTAATCCGATCACAGGAGCAAAGATGGCTATGTACACATAAGGCTATAGGCTGCAGGGAAGAGGTGCTTGTTCTGCATCTGCAAGAATACCCTTTTTTCCCACCTCTTGGCAAACAGGAGGAGTTGTACTCCTTTGTTTTGGTTTCTTAAACACTGCTGTTCCCATCATCTTTTTTGTTCTCGTCTTTATTTGCTTGACCTTGTCTGTTTGCAGTGTGTTCTGTTCATCAGTGTCTTCTGTAACTGTCTCTATCATCCTCCCTGCAAGCTTCATCCTCAGAACTACGGGTTGTCTTATAATATTTCTTATATTCTCTATCAAGAAAAATGTGCAAGAGCGTGAGGACTGGAGTGTCTTATCCTCCTCTTCCTTTCCTTTAACTTCTCTCTCCAGCTCATCTTCTAGTTTACCTTCTTCCTAGCTTTATTATTCATGACCTTCCGCGTTCTCAGCCCTACCAGCTCTCACCCACCATTGTCTGCAACATGTCTCAGTCTTTGCGTCTCATTCGGGTCATCATGAGGGAACAGACTTCCCCCAGTGCCTCTGCTCCAGTTGGCCACGAAGTATCTTAGGCCTCTCACTTTCAATGGTGGCAGTGTCACAATAAGCACATGTTAGCAGTCACGGAGGAGGAAAATCAAAGTAAAAGGCATAATACAAGTGCCAGAGAACTCACAGACTGAGATGGAGAAAAAAAAAAGAAAACTGGAGCAAGCAGACTCTCTTGCCTGTGCCTTTGTCTCTTCTGAAAGCAGCAAGGCAGCTGCATCTCTGGCTGCTATAAGGAATGCCAGTTTGGGATTCCGAGGGACAAGATTCTCTCTGTCTTAAAATTGGGTGCTATTAGAATTTCTGTTTTCAGTTGTTGATTGTGATTTTTGGTACTAGAATTCCTGGTGTTTGCTGTGAGTTGCATTTTACGCATGAAAATAAGTATTGCTTCAAATTTGTTCAATGAAAATCAGTAGTAACAAAGCAGATATACACAAATAGTTTATTTTGAATAATGCCATGTTCATGCTGTGACTGAAAAAGTGCAGATCTAAATTTTTCAAAATAGCTATTGGAAATCAGACTTGGACATACTTGGAATGTTTACTGTCATTAGCATTTTGTTAAGATACTCAGCGATACCCATACCACTTTCTGTTTTTTTCTATATGTTCTGCAGAATTCAGTTTGTTCTCAGGTACCATTATATAACTTGTTTGGTTTCTTTCTAGAGTTTTTTACAAAATTTTATCAATACATGTTGTGTGCTGATATTTACATTCCACTAAATAATTTGTTCGCATACAGAACGAAAACTTTAATTGCTATTGCTTTTAAAAAGATAAGTTTACCAAGGAAGCAAATAGGTGGGTTTTTTTTGTGCTGTTGTGGATTTCTGTACTGTAACTACTGCTCTCATAATTGCCTATTTTTGGCAGAACAAATGGTATCATGATTTATGGCAATCTTTATCAGTTGCTGTGAAATCATAAAGCACTATTACAACACAGTAATGTTCGCAAGAACATCTCGTGAGGACAGAATAGAAATCCCAAGGTCATACATGACAACAGTTCTAAGCTTTCTGTTTCTAAGCTTTGTGTTTCTAAGCTATGATAATTTCTTTTCACAAGATGCCGATGCTGCTGTAATTGGTTGTGACCTTGGAACATAGGAAATATTTCACAGACCCTCACGTGTATTTAATCTCAAATGTGCTCACAGCAGGCTGTTTACCTCTAATCTTAATGCCCACAAAGCTCATATGCTTTCAGGATTAGTGCACAGTGTTCAAAATTAATGCACAAGTTAAAGGATTAATTTGTCCTTGAGACCTACCCAAATATCCAGGCAAATACACCTGAACAGTTAAAGTCAAGAGCATAATTTGATCTTTTGCATGTCAACACACTTAATTTTAAAATTTAATAGCTTCAAAAGACAGTATTTCAGCATCTTACAACATGAAACATGGTGAGACTACATACAGCTCATTTGCACAGTCTGAAGTACCTCACTACGTTTTAATTGCAGAGCTAAGCTTACACAGTTTTCCACAAAGTAAGTGTGGAATTTTTTGTGGGATCAGGTTTGAAGTTTCTGCAGAAAGATGTAGACTTCACATGTCCTTGACTGAGAACCATATGTAACTTTAATTCTGAAATGTGTTCTGTAATAAAGACAGGTAAACTTAGAAAAATCATTTGGTTTATGATTTGTCTCTGGTATGTGTTGTAAGGATTTCTGTATTCTGCTCTCATAATTGCCTATTTTTGGCAGAACAAATGGTACCATGATTTATCGCTATCCTCAGGCAGGAGAGTGGAGTGTTTTACCGTATTTCAAATCACTCTCTGCATATCAGTTTAAATATTATTTATTACTTTAGTTTTTCATCTTCATCAGTTTAAAATGATTTCCAATATATTAGTTAATTCTTGTTCTACTTTGGAAAGAGAGGCAATTAATAATCTCTTTCTCCCTTCCAAAAGAAACTGTAGAAGAGCATTAGTGTGCATTTTTTTAGACAGTATACTCCTTAAATTTTGAACATAGATTTCACTAAAGTCACCTTTAATAACTTGTGTACAAGTTACACCTGAATATGCACAAGTCTGTGGGACCTGATGAGATGCATCCATGGATCCTGAGGGAACTGGCAGATGAAGTTGCTGAGCCATTATCCATCATATTTCAGAAGTCGTGACAGTCCCTTGAAGTTCCCATTGACTGGAAAAAGGGAAACATAATCCCCATTTTTAAAAAGGATGCGCTGGGTTTACGGGAGGGCTGCAGAAATGGCCCCTGTAAGTAGCTGTGAAAAGCTTCCCCAG